ACCATAGTTTAAAAAAAACAATGTGTAGCATTTTATAGATTGCGGAAACTTTACAGAGTAGTTGTGTGCAGACAATTGTATTAATAGACCTTTCTTTTCCTCTCATGCAGCCTGAAAAGTCTCATGAGAAAAACAATAAAGTGTTGCTCTGATCTCACGTAATGTCTCTCTTCTGTATATTGAATACGGCCGGAGATTAGATATAAACTGCTGGGGATGTCTCTGAATATTACCGAGGGGTTTATGAGAAGAAAATAATAAATACACGGCTGAATTCCTCCAGCAATCCAATCGACTGTATATCTTTTTTTTAACTCCTGGTGCTATATCTTGTTTTCGTACACAGTGATGCAGCCATATCCTCATACCCACAACTGCATTAATAGAAAGGCATCGCTCTTAAAGTGCAATAACAGTATGACTACAGATTCGTCACATACCAACAAACTCTGAGTGCCTGGAAAACTCTCCAGAAACTAATGAAGTGCATACAGTACAGTTGCTGCTCTCCAAATGCTACTTGCAGAAAAGATATTGATACTGTAGCAAATTCAAACTGTAATAACAGGCACATTGAATGCTTCACTGTTGTAAAATGTGACGGCTTTATGTGGTAATATCAATACAAGATGTAGCCTGTTTGATTTAATCGTGGAGTGATGCAGTATTTTTCCTCAGCCCTGAGCTGTAAGCACATCCCCTGTCTCTTCCTGTTTTCCATCTCTTTTTATCCCCCTCCTCTTCCTCCATCTGTTGCTCTCCACCCACCTCATCTTTCACCTCCTGTCTCCTTTTCTCCCACATATGATTTCTAAGACACTTTGGTAGTGTTGGACATATTTGTCCTTCTTGTGCAAACAGGAACGTACAAATAAATACACATTCTCCCGCCATTATGACGTATGTAATGGAAAATCTGCTTTTTAAAAACCCATATCTATTGCATGTAAATGACATGCATTCAGGTTTTCCTAAAATACTTAGTGATAAATGTGTCATTTTTACAATCGGGGCTAAAAGGGTATGGCTTTCAAGTTCATGTTAAAAAAGATCAGCATTATAAGTTAAGATGGACCTTTTATTGTTCCTTGTATTACAATTCAGTTTTACTCTTATCTTCAGGAAGGCTATTTGCTGTTCAAACGTTTCAGGAATATTTGATAAACGGACCAGTTGTATACACTAAAACTTAAAAAGGAATACATCAATGTGAAAACTAATGATTTAAAGACTTTAAATCACTTGAAGTCTAATGATGATTTTATTTTGTCTGGGTTCCCTTGACTCATCTTCTTCATAATCCTAAGGACAGAGGACGGCACAACAAAGCTGCTTGATTACATTAAGTTTGCCAGTGTTGATTTGGCAAAAGAACCTGATTGAATTACTGAAAATTTCACATATAAAATTGATCCAAAAACTAGTATGGCAATGGGAAAATTGTCAAAATGAAACATGGCATGAAATAGATGCCAAAAACAACAGCCTGCACAGAGCCCTCTCCACCAGAGCAGTTGCATAATAACAGACCCTTTAATTGTGTGTGTTCAACTGATTAATCTGGCTTGGAGAGAATATTAAAGCCTGAGTTCCCAAACACACATGAACAGAAGCATAAAGCCCTCATTATGATCACTGAGCCCTCATTTACATGTTAGACAGGGAGCAGCTGGGCCAAAACTGCTGTTCTAAAGTGTATTATGTAATAATGAGTGCCTTCACACGTTTCATCACCAGGGGTCATAGTTTCTTTGCAGCAGGTTATAATACAAAACAATCCTCACCACATGACTCTAATAAAACCTGAGAGGCAGAGTGGGAACATTCATAAACAAAGACATGTCTCTCCTGCCGAGAGAAAAGACTGTTTTAAATTGGAGTAACCAAACAAAACAATCTTGGAATCTACTGTTGCCTAGCAAACCCAGTGACTTTGTTTTCATGGAGGAGCGAGGAAAAGCATTGTGGCACAAAAGAGAGCGTATTGTGGTCGAGACAATGCAGTTTATATTACAAATTACAACAAAACAAACATCCAAACACACCCATGCAGTATAGAAGTCAAAGAAACAAATATCTTTTGTTGAAAAAACTGTTATTGGTAAGAAATTGAAATATTAAAGGGGCCCTATTAGGATCATTTTCAGGTTCATATTTGTATTTTGTTCCTCTACTGTGACCTGATTCATGCTTTAATTTGAAAAAAGCTCTTTATTTTTCTCATAGTGCCTGTGCTGCAACACCTCTTTTCACCCTCTGTCTGAAACCAGAGCCCAGTCTGCTCTGATTGGTTAGCTGGCCGGCTCTGTTGTGATTGGTCAACCACTTAGAGGTGCCCCGACCCTTAGCCTATCAAGTACAATGTATTGAAGCGCTAGCCAACAGAACGCGAGTGTTACATAGTGATGTCACAGAGGGAACTTTGTGATTTTAGCCTTTGCAGACCGTTTACATGCACAAAACCTATATAACACACTGCCCCCCCCCCCAAAAAAAAACATATAGGGCCTCTTTAATGGAGATTTTGTAAACATGCCATTAAAGAGAAACTGTTATTGAAAATAGATTCGCTTTTTTAAACTGAGTGACGTTAAAGAGATATTTATAAAGAAGAAAAGTGAAAGGCGTGAGGATGATTGGACAATCACAGTTAATCTGACATGCTCAATGATGTAGAGAATTGGGGGACAGAGGGTCACAGATGATGGGCATTGAAGAAGTAGGTCAGAAAGAAAAATAAAGGAGAGTGAACAAAACAAAACAAAAAAGAAAAGCCACTGAAAACAAAATAAAAATCTCATTTTATAAGGATTTGATTTGTTATATCTGGCCTTGCTGCCTACATATTTGTGTCACAGCAGGAGAAGGACCGATAGAAAAACATGAAAACTGTTATGACTGTTCTTATGAAGGCAGTGGAGAGGATGTGACAGTGTGGTCTGATTTGTTCAAACGTGTGCACGCAGTTTATACCTGCTTGTTGGTTATGTTAACATGGGTCATGCTTTGGTTGGTAGGGCTTAAACAAAAGGCATATCATGCTGATTCATCAGTGATAAGCAAATCCTCAGCAGCATGACGCTGTCCCGTCTTAATTCACCTTTAAAGATAATATCGTGTTTTTAAGAACAAATGGCAACAGCTGCCTCACTGCAGTAAACAGATTATAAAAGTGCACAAACTACCTAATTATTTTTGGTGAAAGCCATTTATATAAACCCAGTGCACTTTGTGAAATGGTCAAGAAAGGAGTTTACATTTACATACATTTCCCTTTTTCTCATCTCTACAGTATATACTGAAGCAGTGTTCACTTTTGGTGGTAGAGTTTTCCATTATCAGTCTGAATTCTTATCAGTATTTTTGCCAAAGGGATTAACAGGTCGCAATGCAGCGTGTAATCCATTGTAACTCTCTGTAATTGTTGTCTAATTGATATCTATTATATTTGTTTGCTTGCAGACTTATCAGTGTTGTGTTACTTTTGTTGCTGATTCAGCATTTCCCACTGCTACAGTAGAAGATTACATTGGCTTTCATTTTGAATCAGTCACAAGAAACACAATGGATTTTTCCCTGATGGTAGCGCCCACAGTGTTTGTTAATCAAAAAATGAGTCTTAATCAGCCACATCTGTGGCACACTGTTATGAAATGAGCAATTATTTTTTGTCCCTCGATTAAATCAACCAGAGATTTTTTGGCTGCAGGGCCATATACAATAATCCTATTGTATTTATCTCTTACACACAACAAACACAATGCCAACAACTGCTAACTTAGCCATTTCTTTTTTTTCTCTTTCTACTAAGCTTTGTCGTAAAACAAACACAAAAAATATCTTTGGATTTATCCAGGTGCCCATTGTCAGCTTTCTTTCTGTAGGCGATGATTCAATGAGAAAAATAGCATCAGTAGCAGCAACAGTAGCAACAGTAGCGTTGGTCCTTAGGTTTGACATAAAAGTTGATAAGTCATGTTCCTTAGTTAGTAGGCTATGGATTTGCTTCTGGACCCTTCTAAGACCCTTTCTTAGACTATTCATAACTAAAGCAGAATAGCATCATATCACATGAATGGTCAAGTGTAGCTAACATCTTTACTTGTTTCTGTTGTTTGTTAGCTTGTAGCTGTCAGTGGCTGTTACTTACAATAATATCTAGTGTATTCATTTTAGAGAATATGGCTCATAGGTCGGGTTAAATAACGTCCCACTCTACATGTTTGCTGTCAAAAATGTCTCTATGCTAATGCTAACTCTCGCTCTCTGTTCTGACAAATGCACTAGAGGTGTCCGTTTTCTTTTCTGATGTTGTGTTGAAGATTGTTTCAAAGTGGATATGTGTCTGTATTTGCGTATTAGACAGCGATTGGCCGTTTCAAATTTGTGATGTACCTAATATAACTAGGACATTGAAAACACATCTCTAGTGGCAAACTTCGCACATGTCAATATATTCAAGTCAGACATAAACAAACAAAAAAGGTTGTTTATGTTTATAAATCAATCCAATTGATTGATCATAACTTTATATGAAATGTTTGATGCCCATAGAGCCTCAAGTAGTAAACAAATGATACGTTATAAGATTAAGGCCTACATTTTTGTTTGTTCTTAATTGTTTTCTTATCCCAGGACATCTTGTTCGTTCAGTGTTATCAGTAAAGTGTGATTATATGATTGTGTTCATATTTAGCCCTGAAACAACAACATTGGAAGGACTGTATCTATCAATCTCTCTCTGCTCAGATGTAGATAGATAGAAGGTATGCGAGAGAAATAGGAGAAAAGCATGGGGCCACCTGGTCGGCCCTGAACAGCACTTCCGTGATAGATGGTTTGTCAAATACTTTGATTGCCACAGGCCGAGAAATCAGAGCAGTCAAGGCTATAATTTAAGATCTTTCAAGTGTGTTTGAAATTTGAAACCTTCCTTCGTTTGATGGCTCTGACCAAAACACATGTCGGCCATTATAAATTCAACGTTTTCCACATGCATCTTAAGGTGAGGATTGTTGGTGCTCCTTCAGCTGCTTCTTGAAAGACTGACGGTCCTCATACATCTCTTTCTCCAGAGCAGCTGTCAAGTAGCAAATGTATCACACATTTATTTCACGGGCGCATACAAGCCTGACATACAGTACATGCAAATATATACAGTATGTACGTGTCCACATAAACACACATGTTTCAGGAGTGTGGTATACTGCTCTTGAAAGTACGTACATTGCACTTCTCATTATGTTCAACAGGCTGCAGTGAAAAAACAATCCTCCTGTAAACAAGTGTGTTTTCTCCTGTCAGTGGTAAGCAGGCGCTCTGTGAAAGCCAATCTGGCTCAAGAGGAGATCACAGCTTTGTGTGTGTGTGTGTGTGTGTGTGTGTGTGTGTGTGTGTGTGTGTGTGTGTGTGTGTGTGTGTGTGTGTGTGTGTGTGTGTGTGTGTGTGTCTGCATGCACATATGTGAGCATTTGGGTGTTACCTCACCTTCAGGACAGATGATTCATTACAGACGAGCCATGGGGTCGGGGGCCCTGTCAGCGCCTGTTGTCATGGGAGCGAGTGTTGGAAACAACAGATCTCCTTTCAGTATCATCTTCAGATTGTTGGGACATCGCCAGGGCCTTCACTCTCTGTCTGTTTTTACTTATTGTCGCTCTTTACTGTCAAGTCTCTCCATCTTTATCCTACTTGTTTTTGTAGTTTTCTCTATATATGATTAAAAGTAATTCAAATATATATATTGTATCATTAATCTCTCAGTAAACTGATGGTCCACTGCAATTCTCAGTTATTTTAAATCCAGGATGAAGGCTTACTTTTTCCGCTCCCTTCTATAAAATATAATAACTTCATATCTTACAATGCACTGTCATATTCTATTTAAAACTCGTTTTGTTTAATAATTAACGGTTGCACTATTTATTAATGCTTTCTCCATGTTCTTTGTAAAGCACTTTCAATTGCATTGTTTTGAAATGTGCATTATAAATAAACTTGCCCTAGCTTTCATATGTCCAGATGATTACTTCTGTAAAATGTGCTAAAAGGTTACTTACATACACTATGATATGGATATATGCAATGTAGCATTTTTCTTTTTCTATCTGTTGAAATAACTCCCTGGTGGACACACATTAAGGCATTAACATGGCTTCTCTTTCTCAGAATCTGCAATTCCACTAAATTCCCATGTGTTGCACGCTTGCAAGAAAATGTGCAAAGAAAAGTGACTCCAGTGTGACTGATTATCATTTTGACAAACATTCAGGTCATTTTTTTCTTTCAGGGTGGGCTGTGGCTCATGGATTAAATGGACATATTCCAAGGGGAGGGTCACTAATTCAAACCCCAGCCCCTGAAGTCAACATGTCCATGAGTCCTTAGCCGCGTTCACACCGGAGTACTTTTCCCACTTTAGTTCCGAAATGTCGCGTTCACACCAAAAAGAGCCGGAACTAAAATTAGTTCATGAGAACCTTTTTACCCCCTTTTCCGTCCCTGCTAGAGAGCAGGGACTCTCATGCGGCTCTGAGAAAAAGTTTCCTATGT